GCAGAGTCACGCCTGGTTAGTACTTGGATGGGAGAAAAGGGCATGGAGGTTGACCAGAAGTTTTAAGTCCTGTCTCTGTGCCCTTGATTGACTGTGGTGTTTTGGTCAACTCACTTCATTTTTCCTCCTGGACTTTAGTTTCCTCATCAGCAAAATAGGAGGGTGGGCTTTCAGGAGAAATGACCACATACATCCCTGTTCACTTCCCAATATTGTGAGGAACAAAATTAGACATGGATGCTAGGGAAACCATAATAGACCGCCCTTACTTTTGAACAGGACCAGGATGAGGTCCCTCAAAAACAGTAACAAGTGGGAAAGATTTGCCCTTCTCTTATGGGAAGTGATAGGATTTTCTCATCTGTAGAATGAGGATAATAATGATTCCTCAGAGCTTTCTTCAGAGTTAACCTAGGGAATTCCCCAGCAGCCCAGTGGTTAGGACTCCATGCTTCCATCACAGGGGCCATGGGTTCAATCCCTGGTCTGGGAACTAAGATCCCACATGCTGCATGGTGCAGCCAAAAAGAAAAGTAGAATTAACCCAGATATCTGGCTTCACCATGTGTTGGCTCGTGGTCTTGTGGCTCTGTTCCCTCATCTATAAGATCACGGATTGGGGGACTAGACTGAGGTTTTGGGTTTTTTTTTAATATTTAATTTATTTATGTTGGCTGTGCTAGCTTGTCATTGTTGCGTGCAGGCTTTCCCTAGTTGCAGAGAGCGGGGTTTACTCTCTTGAGTTAATCCCAAGCAGTGCTTGGGCTTCTCATTCAGGTGGCATCTCTTGTTGCGGAGTGTGGTTTCTAGAGCACAGGTTCATAGTTGTGATGCCCAGGCTTAGTTGCCCCGAGGCATGAGGGATCTTTACAGACCAGGGATCGAACTGGTGTGCCCTGTACTGGTAGGTGGATTCTTAACCACTGGACCACCAGGGAAGTCCTGCCTGAGTTTGAAATTTCTGCTCCTCCTCTTAAACTAGCTGAATTGCTTGGGGAAATCATTTAACTTCTCTACTTTAGCTTCTTTGTCTGTAAGATGGAGGTGATAATACTTTTCTGAGAGTTTCTGTAAGAACTGAGTATATAATGAGGTACTTGGAGCGTTCCTGGCTTACAGTAAACACTTCATGTACATCATCAGCTTTGTAGGGTCATCATTTGGGGGCGGGAATGAGGCAATTCATGTAATACTCTTACGGATTCTGCCTGCTGAATACCAAATATTCCTGAGCTGCTGGGGAGTGAGCTGGGATGGGGCCCAGGAGAGCTGCTGGGGAGTGAGCTGGGATGGGGTCCAGGAGAGCTGCTGGGGAGTGAGCTGGGATGGGGCCCAGGAGTAGGAATGGCTTGCCTGGGCACCTTCAGGGACCGTATCTCTAGCATCCTTCACCCAACTTTGCTTCTCTGTCTCCTGCTGACCTTTTCACACACATTAGGGCCGAAGGGAGCCATGTTTGTCCTCCTGTTCTCTCTGAGTTATAGATAAGAGTCCCAAGGTGTCCAGGAAGTCTTGTAGAAGTGTTTATTTTCTGTTGTTCAGTCACTAAGTTGTGTCTGACTCTTTGCGACCCCGTGGACTGCAGCACACCAGGCCTCCCTGTCCCTCACTATCTCCTGGCATTTGCCCCAAGTTCATGTGCATTGAGTTGGTGATGCCATCCAACCATCTCATCCTCTCCCACTGTCTTCTCCTTTTGCCTTGTTATCTATTGCTGTGTAACAAATCACCATAAATTTAGTGGCTTAACACAACACATGTTTCTTATCTCAGCTTCTGCAGGTTGGGAGTCTGGGCCTGGGCCAGCTGGTTTTTTCTGCTTCAGGATCTCTCACAAGGCTCCAATTATGGTGTCAGCGCTGAACTCTTATCTGAAGGTTCAACTGAGCAAAGATCTAAGCACCTGTATGCATGCACGCTCAGTCACTCGGTCATGTCCAACTCTGTGACCTAATGACGGTAGCCCGCCAGGTTCCGCTGTCCATGGAATTCTCCAGTCAAGAATACTGGAGTGGGTTACCATTTCCTACTCCACTCAGCACCTGTGGTTGTTAGGAAAATTCAGTCCCTGGGGGGCTGTTGGATCCAGGAGGGCCCTCAGTTCCTAGTTTGGTCTTGTTCTAAGCCACCCTCAGTTCTTTGCCATGTGGGCTCCTGCCGCAGGGCCACTTGCTCATCAGTGCATGCAAACCAAGAAGGCAGTAGAGAGAGTCTGCCAGCAAAATGGACGTTCCAGGCTTAGGGAACCTGATCCCAGAAGTGACATCTCGTCTCTTAGGCCAAAAAGTAAATCGCTGCACATGGCTCAGACGGTAAAGAATCTGCCTGCAATGCAGGAGACCTGGGTTCCATCCCTGGGTTGGGAAGATCCCCTGGGGAAGGGAACAGCTATCCACTCCAGTATTCTTCTTGGAGAATTCTATGGACAGAGGAGCCTGGCAAGCCACAGTCCATGGGGTCGCAAAGAGTCAGACATGACTGAGAGATCATCACACTTAACACACACCAAACCTACACAGCTGTTGGTTGGAGGCATGTATTAATAGTTTTCTATTGTTGATGTAATCGCTTCTCGGCCTTTTGGCTAAGATCAAGTGTAGTATCTATTGTTGATGTAACTAATTACCACAAACTTGATGACTTAAAACAACGAGAATTTATTAGCTTACAGTTCTGTAGGCCAAAAGTGCAACATGGAATCAAATCAAGGTCTCTGGAGGGCTTCATCCTCTTCTGAAGGCTCTAGGGAAGAACCTGTTTCCTTGCCTTTTCCACCTTCTAGAGACTGCCCACATTCCCTGCCTTGGGACTCCCTTCCTCCATCTTCAAAGCAACACTGTATCTGTCTGACAGTTCTGTAATCACATTTCCCTCTGACCCTTACTTTAGCCAGGAATGATCATGTCAAGGACTTGAGTGTTAGGTTGGGCCCAGCCAGATAACCCAGGATAATCCCTTATTCTTAGTCACATCTGCAAAGTCCCTTTTGCAGTCCCTTAGGTAACATCCTCACAGGTTCTGGGGTTTAGGATGTGGACATCTTTGGGGGACATTATTCTGCCTACCACTCAAATTACAGGTCCTGCCCATACTCAAGAGAAGGGGTATTAGATGAGAATGTTCATAATAGCAAGCAAGGATCACTGGGCTCTCTTCTGCCAGAGGGTGACTGGCTTTCTTCCCTCACAAGAAGTGAAGCATCTGATGGGGCTTTATCACAAGCAAGTCTTCATTCTTGCCTTCACCATCCACCAGTAACTCCTGAGTATGAAGGGTTCTTTCATTATGAACCTCAGAAGCCAACCCTGGCTGACATAAGCAAGAGGAAATTTCTCGGAAGGCTGTTGGAGCCCGTGGAATAGACGAAAAGCTGGAGAACTGGACTTGGAAAAGACGAGAACTAAAATGGTTCTGCATCCTAGGACTTGTAGACCATGTAGAATAGTGGAGTGCGGTGCCATTTCCTTCTCCAGGAGACCTTCTCAGCCCAGGGATGGAACTGGCATCCCTTGTGTCTCCTGCATTGGCAGGCAGATTCTTTACCACTGAGCCACTTGGGAAGCCATCACGTACAGCATAGTGAAAGTGAAGTTGCTAAAGTAATTAGCCTCCAACTAATAAAAATAAATGAAAAAAAAAAAAGAAAGTGAAGTTGCTCAGTCGTGTCCAACTCTTTGCCACCCCATGGACTGTAGCCCACCAGGCTTCTCAGTCCATGGAATTTTCCAGGCAGGAGTACTGGAGTGGGTTGCCATTTCCTTCTCCAGGGGATCTTCCCAACCCAAGAATCGAACCCGGGTCTCCTGCATTGCAGGCAGATGCTTTACTGTCTGAGTCACCAGTAGTGCAAATAAAGAACCATAAGTTGTGAGCAGTAGATTATCCATTTATTAGTAATTATTCCTAGAGACTGGCCTGCCATCTGTATATAATGTCCAGGCTAAAATTACTAGGCATCAACTGTGATAAACTTTTTTGTATAGCATTTATGTGTTTCCAGGTTTCCTCCTGAGACTGTTAAGGTATCACTCCTTCAGTAGTCTGAATTGAGTGCCTACTATGAGCCTGACCGCAAGAAACTCAAGGGCCATTCAAACCCAAAACACTGTCAATGAATCTTGGCTGGCTTCACATAGGGGATCATTTAAGATGAGCTTTAAAGGTTGGATAGGAGTTTGCCAGAGAGGAGGGGTGTTGGAGGCATTCTGGACAAGGACAGTACATGTTCCTCTCTGAACAAACATGGGTCTAGTGACCACTGCGTGCCTACTATTAGGCCAGGCCCTGAAGATACAGTGGTGACCCCAGACAGATGGGCACCCTGCCCTCACAGGAAGAGACCACTGCTGAAGAATCAGTGCAGATAAGATATCCATTACACGGGACAAGTACTGGGAGCCTTGGGAACCTGTAGGGGACCAGGTCTGTGCATGGTCTCTAGATCTCTTTATCTAGGAAAATTCTTCATATATATGTTGGGTTGGCCAAAAAGTTCATTTGGGTTTTTGAAAAATCTCAGTGGTTAACATTCTGGCCACTGGATGTCATCACAGATCTAGCTTTCTTCCCTCCGGCCTTATTTTATGAAAATATAGAACCATGCGTATATAGGCATAGAACATGATGTTTTGCTGTAACTTATTTTTCCCCGTGTGTGCATGCTAAATCGCTTCAGTCGTGTCTGGCTCTTTGCAACCCTGCAACCCTGCCAGGTTCCTCTGTCCATGGGGTTCTCCAGGGAAGAACACTGGAGTGGGCTGCCATGCCCTCCTCCAGGGGATCTTCCCAACCCAGGGATCAAACCCGTGCCTCTGATGACTCCTGCATTGGTGAGTGGGTTCTTTACCACTAGCGCCACCTGGGAAACCCATGGTTTATATATATATATATATAAGCCATGTTATGTACCTTGTTATCAACCTTGTTGATATCTGTTTGTTCATCTACATATACTATTATTATTTTCCCTCTAGCACCCATCAGCTGAGCCGCCTGGCCCAATGGCGGGGCCCGGTGCGCTCTGGGAGGCCCTCCAGGCCCTCCTGCCCCGCACGAAAGAGGAGCTGAAGCCGGAGCTGGGAGAGACGGCGGGGGGCAGCGTGGCGATGCTGCTGCAGGAAGCCGCCGAGCTCTTCCATGGGGGCCGGCGGCGCGAGTGTCTGCAGGCCTGCGAGGCACTCCTGGACTACTCCTGGGAGAAGCTGAACACGGGGCCCTGGCAGCACGTGGACAAGGACTGGCGGCGGGTGTACGCTTTCGGCTGCCTCCTGAAAGCCGTGTGTCTGTGCGAGCCGCCTGGGGACACTGCCTCCGTGGCCGCCGCCCTGAGAGCCTGCGACATGGGCCTGCTGATGGGGGCGGCCATCCTCGGGGACATCCTCCTCAAAGTCGCCGCCGTCCTCCAGAAGCACCTGCTGTCCGGGAAGAGGCCTGCCCCCAGCCCGAGCCGGGAGCCGCCCAGCATAAAGGTATGGGGGTGTGGGGCAGCCAGTGACCACACCCAACAAAATCTATCAGCCCCATTTTCCTAGAAGTCAGGGGTCAGCTCTCCCCTGGGGTGAAGCCCCCTGGTGTGCTGACCCCTGTTGAAAAATGGCATCTGTATCAATTTGGAAACAGAGCAACCTCTTTCCTCAATTTTTTTTTTTTCCGCTTGTGCAAAAGCTGTGCCCTTGGGGAGAGTGGGAGGGTGGGAGCTTTGTGGTTCCTGAGAAAAAGGACTCAAGAGGGTTGGTGTGGCCGAGCCCTATATCCAACAGGAGCCTGTCTCTTTCACCTTCTTCCTGGCCCCTTGGTGGAAGAAGCGTCACCCACTTTTCTGGCAGCCTCTGTCTCTGTGTGGCTGAGTTTGGATGAGATGCTACAACTTGTGTGACTGATTGGTCCTGCCCTTTAGATCCTTGCCTGTGTCCTCATGGGCTTCCCTGCTGACTCAGTGGTAAAGAATATGCCTACAATGTGGGAGACCTGGGTTCGATCCCTGGGTTGGGACGATTCCCTGGAGAAGGAAATGGCAACCCATTCCAGTATTCTTGCCTGGAGAATTTCATGGACAGAGGAGTCTGGTGGGCTTTAGTCCCATGGGGTTGCAAAGAGTTGGACACGACTGAGTGACTAACACTTGTGTCCTCACTGGTGTTTAAGGGCACATGCTAGAGAATATCCCACAGATCCTCAGGGTGGTGGCCAGTCGCTCAGTCGTGTCCAACTCTTTTCGACCCCATGGACTGTAGCACGCCAGGCTTCCCTGTCCTTCACCATCTCCCAGAGTTTGCTCAAACTCAAGTCCATTGAGTCGGTGATATCATCAAACCATCTCATCCTCTGTCACCCCCTTCTCCTCCTGCCTTCAATCTTTCCCAGCATCAGAGTCTTTTCCAGTGAGTCAGCTCTTCCCATCAGGTGGCCAGAGTATTGGAGCTTCAGCTTCAGCATCAGTCCTTCCAATGAATATTCAGGGTTGATGTCCTTTAGGATTGACTGGTTTGATCTCCTTGTGGTCCAAGGGAACTCTTAGGAGTCTTCTCCAGCACCATAGTAATACTGATAATAAAGGTTAACTGTTGCTATTGTGACTAAGCACACCTCCATTCTCCTAGCATTGATGCAAATTCCTGGTGAAATGCCTCGAATTCTGACCTTTCTGTGCTTGTCGCCATCTTGCTTTTCTGGACAGAAAGCGAGGGATGACCATGTGCCAATTCCAGATGTGACAACAGAAAGAACAGTGCCCCGGCTTCACTGTCCATCCCTCCAGTATTTCAAGAAGCATTTTTTGGTTCCAGGGAGGCCTGTGATTTTGGAAGGCGTAGCCAACCACTGGCCATGCATGAAGAAGTGGAGGTAGGTGTCTGCCGAGGGCTGTAGGGTTCCTCTTCCAAATTTAGCATCCCCAAAGATGCCCCAATTCCTCCTCCCATGACCCCCCAAGAGAATACAGCCTCATAGACACTTAACTGCCAGTTAAGTGGGACAGACTGCTGAGGAGTTAAACAAAAATTAAAGGCACAGTCCTCTGAAGCAGTGCCAGAGGTTTATAAGGTCCTTACCGGCTGCAGTCTGCTTGCCCTAAGCAGTTTTTCATGAGTGCATCCTGGCAGTCTAGTGTTAAGTCTATTATGCCATTTTGCAGGATCTCAGGAATTCTGTGGGCTTTCTCAGGGGTCCCTGAGGCTTGAGAGTAGAAATAAGAACCCAAGACAGCCCCACCCCCTCTCCACGGGCTCCTGGGTTTGCTGTCTCCTCTTGGCTGTTTTGAGTCCCTCCCCAGGTTCATGGTGGAGGCGTCAGATCAGGCAGCTGGATGGTGGCCTTGAAATGAGGAGGCGTGTCTCAGGCAGGTGACAGAGCCAGCCTGAGTCTTGGCAGTGGCTTTGTGGGAGTAATTGTTTTCCTTGACATGGGATGGGCACTGTTGTCACCTGCATTTTACAGATGAGGAACAAGGGCTCAGAGAGGTGAAGAAACTTGCCATGGGTCCCCTGGTGGGTGACAGGCAGGGCTAGACGTGGCACCCCACCAGAGCTGACTCACCAGGCACCTCACCAGCCTGTACTCTCCGCCTCTGGCCCAAATAAGGTCTCTCTGCTTGCAACGAGGCATGCGAAAGAGAAGTTGGGAGGCTCTAGGCCAGCTGGAAAATAGAGCTGCCCAGCAAGAACCAGATTCATCGGTTTTATCTGCAAACAGCTGCCCAGTGCCAGGTGGGCAAGTGACCTCACCTCTTTGCACCTGCATCTGCAGTGAAGTGGGGTCTCCCTCCACCTTGTGAGCTTTTGTGCCAATGAAAGGAGCCCAGTGTGAAGCAGGGCGCCCAGCCAGTCTTAGCATAACAATAGCAATGCTAACCCCTGTCTTCCGAATAGTCTGGAGTACATCCAGGAAGTTGCTGGCTGCCGCACCGTCCCCGTGGAGGTCGGGTCCAGGTACACGGACGAGGAGTGGTCCCAGACGCTTATGACGGTCAACGAGTTCATCAACAAGTACATCAGGAATGAGGTGTGTTGTTGACTCCAGCCCCCTAATGCTCCAGAGGGAGGGAACGCATTGCATATGTGGGCAGAATAACTTCCTTATGTCACCAGAGGAGGTTTTGGAGGAGTCAAGAAGTCATACTTGAAGGGCCTGGGTCAGTAGGCTGGCCAGTGCAAGGAAGGCAGGATGTGTGGGTCCCATTTCAGATCCTTTTGTTTTTTGAAGGGTTTTATTTATTTATTTTTGGGTTAATTCAGTGCTTTTTGGTATATTTACAAGATGGTGCAACCATCACCGATTTGTAATTCCAAAACATTCTCATCACCCTAAAGAAACGCTATACTCATGAGTAGTCACTCCCCGTATCTCCTCCCCACCTATCCCCAGGCAGCCATGAATCTGCTTTCTGTTTCTGTGGATTTGCCAATTCTGGGTGTTTCACAGAGTTGGAATCATACAATACATGATCTGTGTCTGGCTTCCTCCATTTAGCATAATGTTTTCAAGGATCATCTCTGTCATAGCACATACCTTTTTATGGCCAAATACTATCCCTTTGATGGATAGATCACATCTTGTTTATCCATTCCTCATTTGGGTTGTGTCTACTTTTAGTATGCAAAATGCTGTGAACATTCACATGCATGTTTTTGTGTGGACATGTGATTCCACTTCTCCTAGGTATATATGAGGAGTAGAATTGCTGGATCAGGTGGCCACACTGTGTGTAACCTTTTGAGGAACTGCCAGATTGCCTTCCAAAGCCCAACTGCACCATTTTGTCGTTTCTTAACAGTGAGGACCTTGGGTGTCTTCCTCTTCCTGATACCTGTTGGCTGCTCTGGCCGCTGTTGGGGTCATTGGCGCCCAGTATTGCATCTGCCTTGCCCCCATCTGACCCTTGTAGACGCCCTGAGGCGTCTTCAGAGAATCCCTGAGCATCCAGGAGCCCAGTTTGAAAAGCACTGATCTTTTCTTTCATCTGCTTGGCAGAATTTTTCACAAAATGATCATCTCCTATGCAGGCAGAGATGTGGGAAAGTGGGTGCTCCCATTAATGGCCGGCGAGGGTATAAATGATACAGTGTTTTGGAAAATAACCTGGCAGAAGCTATTAAGATTTAAAATGTGTGTACTCCTTGACAGCACTGTTCTACTTTCGGAGGCATGTAAACAGAACGACCAGAGCATTTGGCTGTTTGGGCTTCCCAGGTGGCGCTAGTGGTAAAGAACCGCCTGCCAATGCAGGAGACATAAGAGACATGGGTCCTGAAGATCCCCTGGAGAAGGGCATGGCACCCCATTCCAGTACTCTTGCCTCGAGAATCCCATGGACAGAGGTGCCTGGCAGGCTACAGTCCACGGTGTCGCAAAGAGTCGGACACAACTGAAGCGACTTAGCATGCACGCACACATGCATTCAACTGTTTACTGAAACACCATGGGTCTACTAGCTGGGGGGATGGTTGAATGGATAATGATGCATCCTGTCTATATAACATGCATCCATCAAAAGAATGAGTCACATATGCATGTATCCACTTGATGTATCATTAAATTGAAAAGCAGACTTCAAAGTAATGCATATTGTATGATTCCATTTTTATTTAAAAAATCCTCATGTGTGTACAACCCCTTCACATTTCATGGAAAGTGAGCCCCGGGGTTCCAGGTGACTTACTCAGGTCCACCTCAGTAGCACAGGCAGTACCAGATCCTGAGTGCCCCCATCAGCCCATTCCTGCTGGCTGGCGAGGGATGACATTGGCCCCGGGGTCGGAGTCGGGGGGCCAAACAGGATAGAGAGGAGGGCCCTTGGATGGTTGCCAAGGGCAGGATGCTGAGAGCCAGCTGAACTGGCCTCTCCAGGGACCTCTCTATCACAACTAACGGGCCTTTCTGTGTCCCCTCTGGTTTTTCTCCCATGGAGCAGCCGAAGGACGTCGGGTACCTTGCTCAGCACCAGCTCTTTGACCAGGTAAGTCAGACCACGGCCCTCCATCCTTCACCCTCTCACCTTCTCCCACCTCCCTTCTGGGGCACTGGCCCCAGGGGGCAGGAAAGGGGTAGTAAGCTCAGTTGCTTCCTCCTGGTTCTGCCCCCTGCTCTGAACAGGGAGGTACGCTCACCTGGTGCCCTTCTCACCAGCAGGCAGCAGGGGGCAGGCCAGGCCCTGGGACTGGGCTGAGGGATGAGGAGGCCAGCTCCGGGTGGCCCCCAGGGGATGGAGTCAGAAGCCTGAGTGTGGTCAGAACTGGTTCTAGGAGCCAGGTGAGAGTAGCAGGCTCCAACCTGACCCAAAACAGGTGAGTTCCTGCTGACCTTGACCCCTAGCCCCAGTTGGGACTCTGCCAGCCTCTGAGAGCTGCAGGTCCAAAGTTACAGGAGGGAGGCAGCAATGGGGCCAGGTGAGCTATGGTCTCCTGCCCAGGCCTCCCCGTGTGAGGACTCATGGGTCCTTTCCCCGTCCTCTTTTGCTAATTGAGGAAAAGAAGGATTTGAGTTATCAGGCCTGTGCTGTGTGATCTCAGGAGACTGGCCTGTCCCATCCCCTGGCCTCCGTCGTACCAGGGCTCAGCCTCCAGGGCCCCTGGAAGCCACGGTGAGCTTGGCTGCCTGTCCTGGAGCAGCTAATTGCCATCTGACTAGAACACGAGGAAGCACATTGAGGGGAAGGCAGAGGACATGATTGTTTTTAAGATGGACAAAGGCTTTGAAGCCGTTTTTGTCTCAGGCCCCAGGTTTTCTCCTCTGTTGTTTCCACTACCATGGGGACAGTCTGAGCAACCAGAGCCCTGGGGCCACCCTGCAGCACAGAAGGGATGCCCGGCTGGCTTCCGCACGGCTTCTGGGGCCTTCTCCACCAAGCTCGAGGTCTCCCACCCTAAACCTCTTACTGACTTTCCTCCCAGTGACCCCATATTTCAGAATATTTTGTGCTATGCCTGCCTTCAAGTCTCAGCCCCACCTGGGACAGTTTCTCCTCTTAGGGTCTCTGAATCCTTGGCCCCTGCCTCCGATTATATCATCTGGCCAACCAATCACCTCTCAGGAATCCTGATGATGTCTTCAGGGACCAATCAGCTCCCCTGCATCCCACAGGGCCGGGGTCAGGTGTTATTCCAGCCAGAAACTGTGTGGTGTGAGAGTGAGCCTGGTGGGGGAGAAGCAGGTGGTTCCCAGAGGCCTTGGGGACCCTGCATGTAGCTTGAGGACCCCCCTACCCACAGGACAAGGCACCTCAGGTCATGAACTTCTCCGTCAGCCCAAAGCAGTGGACACAGCAGCTTTTTTACATGCAGAACAGCCCAAGCTCCCCGCAGGGAGAGCATTCCAGCCACCCCTAGTGATGTGTGCACTAAAGGAATGGCCAGTCTGCCTGCAAGTGTCCCTTCTGACCCGGAGAGCTCACTCTGAAGATCCCTGATTAAACTAGCAGAGTGGGTCCCCTCTGCAACACTTTGGGGACCAAACTTGATTCTATGTGTAATTTCCCAGAGTCCCTGAGCCCTTGCCAGCATGGCAGGCAGTCTTGGGGGTTGGGGCTACAGTAGACTGGCCTCGTTTGGAAAGAACCAGAGTCTCAGAGGAAACCACTCACACCGGCTGAAACCACTTCCTGACCAGACCTGTAGAAGGCAGCTCCGGCCCCTCCCTCTGGGCGCTGGATTCTTCACCAACCCTGGGCATGGACCCCCAGCTGCATTTAGTCTGGTCAGAAAGTAGGGTGAGTGTGGCGGATAGGAAGACATGAGGGGGCTACACGAGGGTACTTGATATTTTAAAGTACAGACAGCCCCCAAATTATGATTGTTCAACTTTATGGTCATACCAAAGTAATAGGCATTCAGTAGAATAATTTGGATTTTGAATCGTACTCTTTTCCTGGGCTTAGTGGTATGTTTACCATACTGTGTGATGCTGGGCTGGGTCTCCCAGTCCCTCACTCAGTCCATCACACGGTCACATGGGTAAGCAATGGATACACTTCCAGCCACTCTGGACCCGGATAACATTCTGGTTTTCACTTTCAGTACACTATCCAATAAATTGGGTGATGTCAGTCAATACTCCATTATAAAATAGACTTTGTGTTTGATGATTTTGCCCAGCTGTAGGCTAACGAAAGTGTTCTGAGCATGTTTAAGCCAGGCTAGGCTCAGCTATGATGTTCTGTAGGTTCCGTTTTCAGCTTTTGATATTTTCAAACTACCATGGGCTTCTTGGGACGCAACCCCACCATAAGCCGAGGAAGAATCTTATCTCATTAGAGATGTTCACTGATGACGCTGGGGCAGGTGAGCCCACCCACCTCCTCGTGCAACCTTGTCTGCCTGCCCGCCTCCTCCCCCGGAGTCCCAACTTCACTCCTCCTGGAGGACACCCCCACCCGAGGACACCTCCACACAGAGGCACAGCACAAGCTCACTTCCAACTGGGTCAACGTCTGCACGGCTTTAAGACTTCCACACATGATCACTTGATGCCACCAGCCACCTGGCATGGGGCTGCCCACTTTACCACATCCTCACCACCACTGGGTGTTATCACTTTTTCAATCTTTGCTAATTTGATTAGTAGGAAATGATGACAGTATTTAATTTGGATTCCTTTGCTGATGGGACTGAAAGCCTTTTTATGTATGATCTGATTTTTGTTCTTTGCTTATTTGTGTAACTTTACATATTGGGATCCTTATTATTTTATATGAACGCTCTACATTAACCTTCATTTACCACAGTTCAGATGTTTTCCATTTTATTGGAATTCATTTATTTTATATTAATATACTTACTTTCATTTACCTTAAATGTACTGATTGTGATTGCTTTACCATCAGTAAATTTTGGAAAAACCTTCCTCTCCAGAGATTTGATAAATAAATACTCAGCCCCATCTCTTTTTCTTTGACTTTTTAAAATGTTGTGATAGCTTTAGAAAATGGCAAGCTGGTTTATTTTTAAGACAAAGCAGTGGTGTCAGGTTTTTTAAAAAAAGGAAATAAAGATAAAATGCCTGTGACATGGAAAAATCTGAAAATAAAATTATAACCCTTCCCTAGTAATTATATATTTACTTTTTAAAATTGATTTTTAAATTCCTATGCAGTAAACTGTGGCCAGTGTCATATTACACAAGAAGATAGTATTGGCCTTCTGCTTAAGAGTCGGTTGACATCTAGGCTGCTGAGTCGCAAAGGCCTGGCCTTAACCCGCCTCATCTGCTCTGTCAGATCCCGGAGCTGAAGCAGGACATCAGCATCCCCGATTACTGCTGCTTGGGCGACGGGGAAGAAGAGGAGATCACCATCAACGCCTGGTTCGGTCCACAAGGCACCGTCTCCCCACTCCACCAGGATCCCCAGCAGAACTTCCTAGTCCAGGTTGGAGCCGCTCAGAACCTCGGCCTTCCCCCTCCTCCTAGCCCAGCCACACATTTTCCACGTTTAAATACCAAGGAGATGAACCACAGACAGGGGCATGGACCAAAGTGAAAACAGACAGGGTACTGGGCCTCAGGGTGGGGAGGGGCTGCTTCCAGACTCCGGGATCATCTGGGATCCCGCCGGACGCCTCACGCAGGCAGAGCAGGGTCGGGGTGCCATCTCAGCATGGGGCACGTGCCCCCATGGCCGCCCCCCCCTGCTGTCCATCAGAGCCAGGCTGGCTTCTCCTGCCAGAACCCTCTCTCCAAATACAGGGAAGCTGCTCAGCCAGTGGGTGGTTTGCCCGGGACGCAGACAGGGAAACCTGTGTGTGTTATAAGGGGTGTGGGGTGAGGGGGGGACATCTGTTATAAAACCTTCCATCATAGGCAGAGAGGTTTGACAAGCCAGAGTGTTCTTCCAGCCCAGGGCCCATTCCCCAGGACGTGGCGGAGAGGCTGGGAGCCAGGCCACCTGGTGTGAACACAGCTGTCACCTCTCAGCTTTGTAAACGTGGGACACTCGGCCTCTCTGTGCCTCCATTTCCTCACGTGTAAAATGGGGGCGGGGAGAATGATAAACCATCTCGGGGGGTCACGGCGAGGACTAGCTAACACACATTAAGCACTTAAACAGCGGTGGTCATAGCCAACTGCCTACTGATTGTTCAAGACAGTAGCGAAGGCACTCCTGACCTAACACGCGTGCTGGGTGCCGGGCAGGCTGGGCGGGGAGGCGAGGAGGGCGTGCGTGGGGACAGCGGGGCACCTGCTCATGAAGGGGGTCTCTTCCCTGCAGGTGATGGGCAGGAAGTACATCCGGCTGTACTCCCCACAGGAGTCGGAGGCGCTGTACCCCCATGACACACACCTTCTTCACAACACGAGCCAAGTGAGCCTGGGGGGCCCCAGGGGACCCCCTCCCTCTCTCTTGAGACCAGACGGGTGACCCCCTTGCTCTCACAGGTGGACGTGGAGAACCCCGACCTGGAGAAGTTCCCCAGGTTTGCCGAGGCACCCTTCCTGTCCTGCGTCCTGTCCCCGGGCGAGGTCCTCTTCATCCCGGTGAAGCACTGGCATTACGTGCGGGCTCTGGACCTGAGCTTCTCCGTCAGCTTCTGGTGGTCGTAGCCGAGAGCAGGGGGCCGGGCACACAGAACGCACGCGTGGTCACACACTTCCTTCACACTGTGCCTAAGGGACCAGCTGCCTAAGGACACCTTCGTCAGAGACACGCAGGCCCAGGGGTGGCCCGGCCGCTGCGGGAGGCAGGCGGGACCCCGGAAGGACAGTCCAGGTCCACAACCCGCATGGACGCGCCTGGGCTCCGAGCTGGCTGCCTGGATTCAGGCCCAGCCCCACTGCCAAACGGCTGTGTGGTTTGGAGCAGGCAGCTCTGCTGTGCGTGTCTCCATCTGGCAAACAGGGTGGCGCTGGTCCTCCCCAGAGGGCTCCAGGGATGGGGCACGGGCGGAGCTGGGCTGCAGACCTCAGCGGCTGTCACCAGGCTTCATCATTAGTTCAGTTGTTAACACCGTTCTGTGCTGACTGGTCCATCAGGACAGCCGCAACCTGCGGGCTCTGGAGCGCGGTGGCCGTGGCCTGGTTATAGGGGTGGGGATCCTCAGTGTCTTGCTCAGCTCAGGCCTTTGCTGGGCGGTGGGAAGTCTGGGGTGGTTTCTGTCTCTGTTACCGAAGTGTAACCTGCCTTCAGAGAAGTGCTCACCCCCGCTCGCTTGGTGGATTTTCCACTCCACACCCTCCCACCGACCAGTTTCCAGTCAAGAAACAGAACGTCTGGTAGGCCTCCCTCCTGCCCCTTGCTGTCCCCATCATCCAGGGGTCACTACTCTCTGAAGAGGGTTTTAGGTCAGGAGAGACCCAGGCTTCAGACTTTGCATGAACACATTTGTTTCGGTTGTATAAAACATGGTTGGTTTTGAGTTTTGACCAAGTGAGGATGCCGGGGGCGGGGGTATCACAGACCTGCAAGAGGAAGCCCGGGGCCAGACCTCCACCCACCAGGCCGCCTTCCCTCCCCCGCCACGCACGTCTGCTGGTCTGGCCTTGGTTTCCGTCTCTCCTCTCTTGCAGGTGGGTAGCTTTCTCCCCTGGGGCAGATGGCCCCAGCAGGTCAACTCCAGATCCCTGTACCTCGACCCAGCTCAGAAACCCCAGGGAGGGTTCTGACCGGTGGGCGTGGGACCTGGGCCCACCCAGGGGCAACGCCAGGATGCCAGGATAGCCGCTCTGATTGGTGAGACCTGTCTCACAAGCCTCCTCCCTCAACCCCCCTCCAGTTACTGGGAGAAGAGGGGATAGAAAGCATTGATGGGCAGCCAAACTGGCTCCTAATGTCCTCTGTAATAGGGTCAAGGAATCTGAACCTCACCATGTAGGTATGGATGTGAGAGTTGGACGGTGAAGAAAGCTGAGTGCCAAACAATCGATGCTTTTGAACTGTGGTGTTGGAGAAGACTCTTGAGAGTCCCTTGGACTGCAAGATCCAACCAGTCCATCCTAAAGGAGATCAGTCCTGGGTGTTAATTGGAAGGACTGATGTTGAAGCTGAAACTCCAATACTTTGGCCACCTGATGTGAAGAGTTGACTCATTGGAAAAGACCCTGATGCTGGAAGGGATTGGGGGCAGGAGGAGAAGGGGATGACAGAGGATGAGATGGCTGGATGGCATCACCGACTCGATGGACATGGATTTGGGTAAATTCTGGGGGTTGGTGATGGACAGGGAGGCCTGGTGTGCTGCAATTCATGGGGTCGCAGAGTCAGACGCGACTGAACTGAACTGATGTAGGTCTTGGGGCTTCAGAGTTTTGAGTGGAGAGACCTTAAGAATTTCAGGCCCTAGAGGAAGCTGCCTCTTGGCCGGGAGGAGGGGCTGATTCTGTGAGTGAGCCCGGGCCAGGGCCCTGGCCTGATGGATGGGGGAATAAGAGAGCCATTTAGAAAGGAGCCGAGGGCTCTGAGCAGGTACTCATGAGGTCGTTTATTCCCCTACCCGGCAATATCAATATTTACCTGATTTTTCATATCAAGAATTTATAGTAAATAACACCGCCGAAGGTGGTGAGGCATAAAACAGGAAAGCCACCATCTCCGCAGGCTCACCACCAGTGAGGAGCGTGGCCGCCGGGCCGCAGACGAGCTGTTGCTCCGGAGCTGCCCGTGGAGCCCTCGCCCCTCCCCAGCTCCTGCTCTGAGCCACGGATGACGGACGAGAAGCGGGTCATCTGTGTCCCGGTTCTGAAGTTAGGGACTAGAGGAACTGTTCTTTAGAACATATCAAGGGCTGGCCACCTGAGCAGATGTCCCTTGTCAGATGGGGACATCACATCTGAGTAGAAGCCTCACGGACCTGGAATCTGGAACTGACAGTGAGACCTGAGGAAGGCACGCCCCGCAGCAGGTGCAGGAGCCCTGAGGCAGGAACGCCTTGGCCTCGGGAGGAAGGGGCCCGTGCTGCTCTGGCAAGGGCGTGTAGCATCAGCAGGGCCTGGAATGTCCCAGGGCAGGAGGGACGAGGTCTGCTGGAGCTGCCCTGTGACAAGGGCCAGAAGGGGGAGGCTTGAGACCCGATAAGCATTGAGTGTCCCTGGTCCAGTGATCCCTGGGGTGACAAGGTCAGGGCACCAGCGGGAGCGCCAGGCGGGGGAGGACAGGCTGTGCTGGGGGGCGGGCAAAGCAGATCACACAGGCCCTGAGTGCCTGTGAATTGGGGATCGGGGTCCCCAGGAAGTTCACACTGGTGACCACGCAGGGGAGATGATAGCAGGGTGGCGCCCAGCAGCAGGTGCTCGGCACTTTCTCTGCACAGGCCTGGCTCGACCCTGCCTCCTCGACTGCCCAGCCCCCTGCTCAGACAGGCAGCAGGCCGCGGGGTGCTGCTCTGCTCCACTCCGGGCCCCCGGCCTCCTGGCCCCTTGCCTAGCACAGCACCCTGGAGGACCCCCTCTCCCCAGGGGTGCCGCCTTGGACGGTGCGGCGGCTGGGGCTACCTGCATCTTGAGGGCACGGTGGAGGATGGACGGAACAGCGGGAGCTGCTGTTTGGTGCCCACCATGGCTAGGGAAGGGGTCTCACCAGCCAGAACGCCCGAGCGCGAGTCTCTTTTCTGGAGCAGCTCTCCTGACTTGCTGTGCTCTCAGCAAGCTTCCTCAGAGCCTTGAGAGAAACCCCTTTTCTGGGTAGGCTGAAAGGCATGGTTTCTGTGGTGTGCCTGGCACAGACCCCACCTCCCCCCCACACTATTCGGGGCTCCTACAGGGCTTCACGAAGGCTTGCATTTGCTCTCAGAGGCTGGGCCAAGGTCCAGGACCTGGGTCACACTCCACACCCGTCGACGGAGGTTAAGTCGGGCAGCATGTAGCGCCCACAGCTCATTCCCTCTCTGCCCGTAACGTATTCAATTTGCCGAAACGACTTCTTCACTCGGCCACGTGGCTCAAGAGGGCTCCCTCCTGTGGCTGAGGGGAGACCTCAGTGCCCCCTGGCCTCTCCCACCCCACTTCCCCAAGTATGCAGACTGGATGTTTGCTGGGATGAGGGAGCCACTAAGCGAGACCTGCTCTCTCCCTCCTGACGGTGGGGACTGGGTGAGCGGGACCGGGAAGCATGGCAGCCGTTTTGCTACCATGAAGAAAGAGGCTGCATTTGCTGGAAGACCATGTTTTACCTCCACGAGGTCAACACTCGTGACAACAGGGTGGGGACAGAAATGCAGACGCGTGGAGCCATCACTGGAACCCCTACATCAAGCCTCTTGAAGGACCCCCCTCTAGCCTTCCATGCTGAAGCCAGTCTGAGTTGGGTTTTCTATCATGACTGAAGGGGTCCTGACTGGTACTGGGGTGAGGGAGCTGAGTCGGTGAATTAAAGTAGTGTGGCAAGTGATGGTCGAGGAGGTGCAGGCAGGGACTGGGCATCGAGGCGGTGACCGCCTTGCCAAGATCTAAAGGGTGAACAGGTGCTGTCGGCAAGGACAGGACATGCGAGGGGAGAGCAGGCAGGCGGAGGGACCACTTAGGACAGAGAAATGCCACGCCCTGGAAAGTGGGAGGGCAGAGAGTGAAACACACAAGGCCCCACTGCATGGCCTAAGCCTCAGGGCAACGGGGGCATCAGGAGCTCCAGCAGGGGTGGCCAGGCACCTTGGGAGGGTGACCCTGGGGGAGAAGCCAGGAGCAGTGTGGAGGGGAGGGGAGCTGGCCCAGCCTGGGTGGTGGCCATGGGGCTGAGGGCCATCCGGCAGGTGGGCTGCATGGGACTTGGTGGCAGGCTTGATGCAGAAGGCCCAGAGGAAGGAGGCATCCAGGCCGACTTCCTGGCTCCAGCCTGGAGCAGCTGCAGGCGGTGCAGAGAGCCCAGTGAGGACACACAGCCACAGCCCCTCCCGCAGCCTCATGCTGTTCAGGCCAGTGCATTTGGGCCAGGGAGGGTGCGGGGCGTGAGGTGTGGGGCGGGTCCAAGGCCAAGGCTCCCGCATGTCCAGTAAGTCCGGCTGGCAAGCGTGGACAGGACCAGTGACCAGTGCTGGGGACTGAAGGCAAGGCCGCCCTGAGCAAGTGGCCTCAGGCCTGCTGGGCAGGAGGCGCTCGGCCAGCCTCAGCCTGGACCTGAGCCCAGACCCCCAGCTCTCGGTGAGTGCCAGGAGAGGGGCGTGCCGCCACAGACGAGGCTGCAGAGGCTGCTGAGCAAGTTTATTCAAACCTGTTGACAAGCGAACGTACAAGATAAAAAGAGGTGATCCACGTGAACCATGAAACTGATACCTCTCTTCCCAGTGGAGCACTCGGTCACTCCCCGGAAGGTGGCGTCCTGGCTAGTGCTGCCGGGACCTCAAGGACCTTTTGTTTGATCTGGACATACCAGTCTCCCTTTCCTTCTCGGGGTCGAAGACCTCTGTACACAGAAAAGCCAGAAGGTACTGTGAGTGGCGGGGTTGGTGGACGACCCCAGTCACAAGCCTGTTCCAAGGACTCTGTCCCATGGAACATGTTACCCTCCAGGGAGGCAGAAAGAGCCCCAGTCTGGGGACGCACTTTCACCTCCCCTCCAGAGACAGCTGCAGGGGAGAGCCTCTACTACACCAGACCCCCCCACGTCTCAGGGTTTC